AGCAAGCATTCTACTGCTTTAACCACACCTCCAGTTCATTTTGCTCTGATTATCTTGGAGATGGGGGGGTCTCATGAACTATTTGCCCAGGCTGTCCTCCAACCACAAGCCTCCTGATCTCAGCTTCCCAAGTAGTTAGGATTACAGCCTTGAGCCACCTGCAGCCCAGTGAAGATATTTTTTAAGGCATAAACACTATGTTTGTTCATTTTCCTTTAGTGATAATATACTATAAGCATTGTTCTACATCTTTATTTTTCCTCTTTAACAGTATATATTAGAAATGTCTTCATATTAGCATATAACTTTCATTCCTGAGCGTGGGTGTGTGGGGGGGTATGTATGTGCATGTGCTGTTGAGACTCAAACTCAAGGCCCAAGCACACTAGGCAAGTGCTCTACCTCTAAGTTATACCTCCCCTCTTTCCTTTTTGTTGCTGCAGTCTTTCATTATGATGCACTTAACTTAAATTCTGACATTTAGTTGGCTTATCGTAGTAGTTCAATAAATCCTTACCTGGGTGAAGCAGTTCACTGATGAGAAGAGGGCATGCCAGGAGATTTTCACTCTACAGTGTGTGGCCTGTCCCAGGAGACAGTGACTGGCTAACCACAGAGACCCTCTACCCTAGCACAGAGTTCTGACTTGCACTTGCAGTCTGAGCCACCAAGCAGATTCTGATTACTAAGCTGATTTCTCTGTATGGATAATCAGAGTGCAGAAAAATGCTCACTGTGCCTCACTGACTCTCCTTGAAGGGCTTTCACTAAAGATGTCCTGGAGGAGCTAGTGAGCTGGTGTTTGCTGTTCATGCTGGTTCCAGGTGTTAAGAGAAATGTTAGCATTTTGAAGAGGCCAGACAACTGATTTAACAGGCTTCCTGGTTAATGCTGTATCCTTCATAATTACTTACTGTAAAGTGTTTTTAAAATTCATGGCACATGCCTACAATCCCAGGACTCAGGTAATGGAGGCAGTTCTGGGCTAGAGGCTGGAGATATGGCTCAAATTATAGAGCACCTGCCTAGCATGCACAAGGCGCTCAGTTCAAACTACTGTACTGCAAAAACAAAACAAAACAAAACAAAACAAAGTTCCAGGCCAGCCTGGGTTACAAAATGAGACCCCCTGTTTCAAAACCCAAAACCAAGGGGAAAAAATACCTGCAGGGTGGGTATGTAGCTCAATGGCAGAGCACTTGCTTAGCATGCCTGAGACCCTGGGTTTGAATCCCAGCACTGTGCTCTCCCCTAAAGTGACAGAAGGTTAATTGTACAAAATCTCAGCATACAAAAAACAAAATAAAACACCCTAGCATTAAACTAAATATTCTGAGCATGGCTCCAGTGGTTCAAACCTGTAATCCCAGCTACTGGGGAGGCAGAGATCACGAGGATCCAGACATCCTATCTCAGAAAAAGCCCATCACAAAAAAAAAAGGATGATGGAGTGGCTCAAAGGGTAAAGAGCGCCTGCCTAGCAAACGTGAGGCCCTAAGATCAAACCACATACGCATTAGTACTGGAATAAATAAAAAGTTTAAGAGGAAAGAAAACAAAACAAAAATCTTACCCTTATGGATCTTACTTTTTTTTTGTGGGACTGGCGGGGTTTGAACCCAGGGCTTCACGTTTGCAAGGCAGGCCTTATGCCACTTGAGCTACATCTCCAGGCTGTTTTGCTCTGGTTATTTTGGAAATGGGGTCTCCTTGAACTATTTCCCTGGGGCTGGCCTGGAACCTCAATCCTATGTCCTATTGTGACCGTAATATCCTAATTCCAAGTAGGATAGGTTAGGTGCTCTTATGACTTTAAATCTCTCAAAGCAGGCTTATTCACCATTTTACTCCAGGACTTAGCTTACTACCTGGGGCATGGAGGTGGTCAAGAAACACCTACTAGAGCAGCTATGCTTTAGATACAGAGTAGCCTGGATGTGCCCTTATCAGCAAAATGCTTCAGCCAGGCACTGGTGGCTCACAGCTATAATCCTAGCTATTCAGGAGCTCAGCTACTCTGGGCTCTTTGCAGCCAGCCCAGGCAAATAGTTTGAGAAACCCTATCTCGAAAAAACCCTTCACAAAAAAGCACTGGTGGAGTGGCTCAAGGTGTAGGTCCTGAGTTCAAGTCCCAGTACTACAAAAAAAAAAAAAAGGTTAAAGCTTTATGCTTGCCCACAAGGCTTCTGCATGCCCCTTCCTTTGCTCTGGAAGGCAATTAAAGAAGACATTACCATTTTCAATGTGCTCGGGAGGGAGTGGCAGGTAGCAGAACTACCAACTTTGACTTCAATGGACCCAAGAACATATAACTCAAAATCTATTTCCTTAAATGGGTACAGATTTAGTTTCTTGTACGTTAAACTGTCCTAGAATGTTTCCTCACTTAATCCTCATAAACAACCCAGGAGATAGGTTTTATAATCTCCATTTTATTAATGAGGAAAGTGAGGTTCTAAGAGGTAACTTGCCCTACAACTAATTGTCAGAACACACATGACAGTTCAATTCTAGGCTTCTCCTATTAGTCTGTCTCTTAAGATGGGGGTAAACTAATACAATTAATGCATATCCCATGGATGCAAGGATCTTTGATTTATTCATTCTAGAAGATTCTAATCTTCATCTTCAGAAACATAAGTTTCTGGGACCTCAGAGGAAGCCATTTGTGTTCTCACCTCTCTTGACTACTGTAAGATACCATGTGAGACACCGGCAGATCTTGTCTAGTTGACTATCTAATCAAACTCAGTTCCAGGGGTCCAAGGGTGGCATGAAGGGATACACCATCAGAACATATTTGGAATTTAGGCTAGGCTGATTACAAAATGAAGACAAATTCCTCTATGGTTATTCTGATTACTTTTACATAAGTAAGTTTCACTAGAATCTTGGTAACTGTGACTTAAAAATTTGGTACATAGATACAGAATTTATGAATTTAGGGATGTGTTCAACAGACAAAGTACACCTAGAGAACATAAAAATTCTTTATTCAGTCTAATCCAGCCAGTATTGAGATAGTCTTCTATATTAAAAACAAGACATTTAAAAAAATTACAGCAGAATTAGCAAGGCAGTGACTAATTAAAGTCACTAAGTTTAATTTTATATTCTTCACAGTCATTTGATAATTATGTAATCATGAACAATATTTTCAGCCACTTACATGGAGATAAGTTAACTTCTGTAATAAATAGAATTCTACTAGCTGTCATTGAATTTTGTAAGAGGCTTAAAACATTAGTTTCTAGAAATAACAGAAAAGCATTATGAAAAACACTCATCCATCTCTACATCATCTTTGTCCCCTACTGCCTTTTTGTCTCTTTATTCTGTTGTTCTAGAGTGCAAACTATAACAATTAAGAAACAACTACTATTCTTCAGGACCTATTTTGAGCTTAAAGTACCTCTGTGTTCCTTTAATTTCTCAGTTAATCCTAAAAATAGTCTTCTAACTATTACTCGTATTTCAGAGATGGAGAGAACTGTGGCTGAGAAATGTTAAGTCAGTTGGCCAAGGTCACAGTTATTAAAAACAGAAATAGGATGTGAATGCAGGTCCATCCAACTTTAGTTGGCCATGCTCTTTTGCTGCTTCATGGTAGGGCAGGCACCCACCCAGAGACCGGCACTTGGTATGTCTTGAGCTAAAGTTCTTTAGGTTTAGAAGTGTTCACTTGCAGAGCCAGAGGTCACTCTGGTTCCCAGGCACTTATAGTTCCCTCCCAACACATATGGAAGCCCCTCCCTCCTGCCCCCAAAAGATTACAGAGTTATTTCCCTGGCCCCCATGGGCCTTGATGCCATAAACCCAAGTAGCTACACCCCATCTTGGGGATTAAAGTAGTAAATGGGGAAACTGTGCTTGCATATTTAATAAAGGCTGCCTACAAGCTGTTCTAATAAAATTATACAGGAAATGTCTATTCAGTATATCTTTTTCATACTGGAAATTAAAGAACAGCCAACATATTTTCACAGAATTCCTATTTCCCTTCAGAACAGTAGCAGTGTTCTTAATAAGGCTCACTTAGTCAAGTTTTCCCTTCCTCCCTGAATAATTACAATTTTGAATATTCAACAGCCGTTCACATAAAGCCATATAACTCAAAATTAAGACATTCATACTATAGACAAATCTTTAATTACTAAAATTAACATACAGTGTTTCAACCTAACATTGATCAATCTACATTTGCTGCACTCCTAGAGTAGCCACGCATCAGTATGGGAAACATTTACTATTGTCATGCATTAGCTATTGTGAAAAAAATAAATAAGGTTTTTGTAACTATCTTTAGAAAATTTAGTATTAATGAAAATAACTGAAAGACCATTCAGATAGCTGAATATTAAAATAACCACCTACTGAAAATGGCTTAAATAACTACTTTTGGAAAATGAATACAAAACTAGTTGAATGATTATGAAGGTGCTAGCCTCATCAATATGACAAGCAATTAAAACCTAAAAATATTATTGGTTTTCTATAATAAACTAACTTATCCAAAAAATGATCTCAATATTTACTCAAGACTTCTTGTTTTCCTAATTGTCTCACTGACTGATATAAAAGCAAAGAACTCAAGGCCTCACCTTGGTTTACTTACTGCTGGTTTTCTACCACCTGAAAGGAGATTGCAAACTCTGTAAGAGCAGGAACCAAGTCTGTTTTGTCTACTAAATCCCATGGCACCCGGCACAGCGCCTAGGCAAAGAGGAGGGAGTGACAAGTATCTGAAGAACTGAATCAATTAATGAGAATAAAATTTACTTTATTTTTTTTCTTTTTTTGCAAATTGTTCTCTGCTCATACTATAAACTGGCAGCTCTAATTTCTAGAAATATGGAATTAAAAACCTTACTCAAGAGATCATTCTCTCTCTCTCTCTCTCTCTCTCTCTCACACACACACACACACACACACACACACACCCAGAGGAAACAGTAATCAAGACTACACGAGTCAAAATTACATATGAACTATGAGGTGTCAACATTGTATAAATAAAATTTAATAGTGAAAAAGTGATCTGGAAGCCCTGTGAACTTTTACCCTACACATTTTTGAGGACATCACATAGGTTAAGCAAAAGACAACAAAATCTCATTTGTTCAGATAATCATTTGAATGTTCACATACATTTTTGGTTTGTTATTTATTCATAACTAATTTAATTTACATTTCCTCATATTAACATATGCTCTTGTTTAGCAAGTAATCAAATTATGCCAGTGAGAAAAAAAATCCTCATAGTACCTTCATTGAGTTGCTGTTTCTAAGAAAACACTGAACATGAACATGTACAAAAGAGGCATTAGAATAAAACAGCATGTGCATTTTTTTAATATTTGTACAGTTTGATCTTCTAGTCATTTGGAGGAAATATGAACCAACCCAGATTTACCATGCTAAGATAATATTTCAGATGACTGCCATAAAAGAAGTACATACAAAACAATGAAAACAAATCATCCTTAGGTTCCGTGATTACTGAGAGGATTTCCCTTCCCTAAGTGCTTTATTATATTTCTTAAAAATATAGGAGCAGCAGCTTATCACAAGTCTCCACTAGTGCATTAATGATGGAATCAAAACAACACAACAGACTCATAAGGATGAGAGGACTGCAGAACAACCAGAAGTCACAGTTTTATGCTTCTTCTTGCTCTGGATAATTTAGAATTTTGCGATGTGCCTGACGTAAATATTGCTGCTGTTTGAAGTAAACCTTAAATGCTCCTTTTATGGCAACAAAAGCAATTCCACCCTAAAACAAAAGGAAAATCAGCTTTTTATAATGCAGGTTGAGAGAAGCATAATAAAAAGAATTTTGCTTAGATCACAAAAGACACAGGCTTTGATGCTTAACTAATTCAGATAACTGCAAGTGAAACATACTCTTTTCTACTAGGGGGTGAGATAGGGAGAGAGGTGGGCACTACAACTAACGTGACAGAGATTGGGTCTCTGTTAGTCTGTCTGAGTAATCTTCCCTACACTTAGCTTTACATCCATTCTTATATAGAAAGGAATGCCAGAGCACTATGTGCAGACTGCCACCAGAGATGGGAGGTGGGAATGATAGTAAACAACACAATGTGTTTTATATCCTAGTATTTATCTCATTTAATCCTCATAATTATTCTGACACAGCTACCACTCCCATTCTACAGGCAGAGAAGTTAGGAAATTTTCTTTACGTTTCACTATTTAGGACTCAAACCAGCAGAAGCTCTTTACCATAGTCCAGTGGGTAAGAGGGAGGGTGTGATGACTTGTACATATCACAGAAGAGAAATTACCTATAGAATAGCTTTAGAAGGCCACAGCTGCTGCAGTGGCTCCTTCCATTTTTATTTCCCTCAAGCAGGTGGATGACAGTAGGACCAAATAACATGTAGGAAGCACAAACTAAGTATTTATATAGTCCTGTCCTTTTAAAAAACAAATACAGTTCATCTTCCTTTGTATGCCACTTGAAAAAGTAATATTAAAGCCATCTTACCAAGATTGTCCTTTGTAAATTAGAGTTAACACTACTGAACATCAGTTTACCAACTATTGTCGCAATAGTAGGAAAGACAAGGGCTCCACACAAAATTCGGGTAGCAGAGACATGATCTGCTAAAGGATTAGCTTCAGCTGGAATTCGAGGAACAGGACAACCAATGCCTAGAGAGAAAAAATGCCATGTCAGTGCTAATACCTAAGAATAGCTGAAAAGTATCTTCAACCATTTCTAAAAAAAGCACGTCAATTGCACATGTACTTTAGAACCATAATTTAGGTCCTCACCTGGAAAGATACTGTTCAGAATTTGTAGTTTATTTGAGTATTTGCGCCATAGTCTAAGCACATAGTCCTCCCAGCGAATCATCTTGCCCAATATCAGCATGACAGGAATAGTGGGAAGTCCAATTAAAAGGAATAAAGGATCAGCTCTCTCCATAACATCCAGTCCTTCTTTATGGCCTACAACCTGTGAAGCAAAGGGCATTTAAATAAAAAACTAAGCTGGAAAGATATGAGTCCTGATTTATTTATAAGAAATATCACAATCTATTCAAGGAAAAAACAGTTTTTAAGTTACAACAGAATAAATAAAGCTTTAAAAATGGCTGACCATATTGATTACATTTCAGTTTTTTGGGTTTTTTTGAGATGGGGCTCACATTCACTACACTTCAATGGAGGAGAGGGGACCTCTGGTTTTTGCTTCTATTCCTCTTACTTGATCTGGTTACATTGTAGGCCTGGGATATTATTCTAGGTCCTTCTTGCTCTTCCTTTTAGTTGAGGTCAGACAGCCAAGTGGTGGCACTGACCTTCAAAAGGAAACTACTGGTAACACACATGCACAGGAAATCAATGTGAGTCAACTCCCCGTATAGCTATCCTTATCTCAACTAGCAAAAACCCTTGGTCCGTCCTATTATTGCTTATACTCTCTCTTCAACAAAATTGGAGATAAGGGCAAAATAGTTTCTGCTGGGTATTGAGGGGGTTGGGGGCAGAGGGAGGGGGTGGGTGGGGGGGTAACGGAGGGGGTGGAGGAGGGGGTGAGAAATGACCCAAACATTGTATGCACATATGAAAAAAAAAAAAAAAAAAGAACCAGAATAAAACAACAGGAAACAAAAAAAAAAGAGGAAACTACTGCCAAGTAATTCCCAACACTTGGGAGGTTGAGGCAATCTGGGAAAGTGAGGCCCTGACTTCTAAAACTCACTTGTGGGGCTGAGGGTACGTTGTACGTGCAAGGCCTGGGTGTGGTGGGATATGCCTACAGTGCCAGGTACTTGGGAGTTCAACATCAGCCTGAGCAACATAGTGAAAGCCTGTCACAAAAGATGAAAAGAAAAAGAAAATGCTTTTGGGGGTTGTATTCACACTAGAGCAAAAGAGAACTAAAGGGGCTGAGGCACAGCTCAAGTGGTAGAGCACATGCATAGCACTCATGAGGCCCTGAGTTCAAATCCTAGTACCTTAAAAAGAAAAATAAAAGTGGGAACTAGGCTGGAGATTCAGGTTCCGCTGTCCCAGGATAAAATACTCCAGCTCCCTCTGCAATAGCTTAAAGTCAGGAGTCCTCATGCTGCTTCCTTCTTCATGACAGTGGATGTAGAAACTCTCTAAACTAGTAAGGCAGGAACAAATAATAGTGTCTATTGAACAAAACTCTCTCAAGGATTTAATGTATTGGTGCTTAAAAGACTCAGTTCTGGGACCGGGCAGGAGGACTTCACTCTCACACAGGCTTTTTAATAAAAATTCAAGTGGAGAGTTGGGGGTTGGTGGCACACACCTGTGTGTAGTACAAGTCATTTTGGAAGCTAAGGTGGGAGACCAGCTCTAGCAATGTAGTGAGACCCCATTGCAAAGAAAGAGAAACTTAAAGAAAAATGTCAGGGGAGAGAAGTTACAGCATAAAACACAAATGTTTAAGAGAGAAAAAAAAAAAGCAAGTAAAGGGTCTCATTCAAATTTCCCATAGCTAAAGACTGTTCCCTAGAGGAGATCGAATTAATGGCAAAAAGCAAAACACAAACACCCAGTGATCTAACACCTTAATCTAATTTACTTGCACTCCAGAGGTGTAAAAGAACCATATTTGAGTGAAAACTCAAAATATGAAAATGCAAATTCCGAACAGGGTACTGGTGACCCACGCCTATAATCCCAGCATTCTGGAGGTGAAGGCAGGAGAACTGCAAATTGCAGGCCAGCATGGGATATCTTCTATCAAGATGCTGTCTCCCCCAACCAAAAACAACAACCCCCCAAAACAACAAAAAAAACCCCACATGCCTATAATCCCAGCTATGTGGGAGGAAAACCAATCTTGCAATCCTAGCTATGTAGGAGTTATAGATAGGAGGATCACAGTCAGAGGCCAGCCCATAGCAAAGCACAAAAGGTAAAGCAAAAAAACACTGGCTATGTGGCTTAAGTGGTAGGGCATGTCCAAGTATAAGGCCCTGTGTTCAAACCCCAGTACTGCCTGCCTGCCTATTATACACACATAAAAGCAAATCCTAAATCCAGTTGTTATCAAAAAATTATGCTGATTTAGGTAGACACAGATGAGCTAATAAATTATGCTGACATATATTTGAAATAAATTATGGCATATTCAAACACACACACACACACACACACACACACACACTCTCTCTCTCTCAGGAAAAAAGTCACCTGCCAATACTTTTAAATTATACAACAGTACCTATCTACTGTCACAATCAAGGTCTCTCATGCTAGAATTAAAAAAAAAAAATCTTTTCAAATGAGGCAGTACATCTGATTTCCAAATGGTTAACACTAACATACTGAGTTAAAATGTTTCTGTAGTCTTCTGCACTCCATGACATTTATATTACTGTAACTGCTCTGCAGCTATTTCATTTTAAACCTTGCCCTGAACATGGGGATTAAGTTCCCAATTTACTTGTGTTTTATAACACGCCCTACCTCCTGAGCTGGGCTCAATGGTTAAGTTTTTTATTAAATCATACCAATATGGTTCAAAATGCCCAGCTGGCAGTCCTTTTCAGAGAATATAATCTATGTTTGAGTCTTTATTGGCCCCATTAACTATTAAAATTCCTTTTCTTTTTTTTTTCCTGCATTGTGCCAGCCTAAGAACTCTTCCTCAAAGAGCAATTTCACTTTTTTTTGGCCAATAAGATCTTAAGAAAAATCAATCTCAGAGGGCCTGTTTCCTTAGCTGCAAAAATATGTATCTGTATTATATTTGTGCATCAAATAATGGATAATCTAACCTAAGATGATATGTCTTTGTCAGTCCTAGTCAGTCATCCTGAACTTCCCTGATGTGATGATGTACGGATATTATTAGAACTGCTCATATCAAAACAAAAACCAGAAAAACTCCTACCAGTATCACTGGGTGTGGCAGTGCAAGCTTGTAATTCCAGCAGTGAGGCTGGATCAGAAGTTCGAGACCAGCCTGGGCTACACAGTAAGACCCTGTCTTAAAAATAAAAGAAGCACAAAGCAAAATAAAATCTGCACAGTATTTATGAAAGCCTCTGTGTGTTAGTTTCTATGAAGATGCAATGAGGGGGAACAGAGAAGTATAAAACAGACTATACTTTGACGGAAATTACCTTCTAAAATAAGGACTAAGTGTAATCAAAGTTAAATAGGTAATCTATATGAGAAATGTCACTTGGTGAGCTGAGTGTGGTGGCACATTTATAATCCCAGTTCAGCACTTGGGAAGATAAAGGAAAAGGAAGGATTGTGAGTTCGAGGTCTATTCTGGGTCAAACAGCAGACCGTTTAAAAAAAACAAAAACAAAAAAGAAATGTTGACTGGGGCATATGGTTCAAGTGGTAGAATGCTTGCACAAGGCCCTCAGTTCAAACCCCAGTACTGTTCCCGACTTCCTCCCAGAACAAACAAACAAACAAAACCCAAAAGTCACTTGGTCAGCATGTGGGAAGGAGCTGCTTGATAACTTTCATAGGGGAAAAAGTAGCTAAGCATCAAAGGAAGGTTTTAGATTTGGATAAAGAAAGAAATGACTGGAAGGGCAGATAGTAGGCAGGGAGGATGACATAGCCAAAGGGCAGAGGTAAACTAAACAAGAATGGATTGGAGGGGGCTGGCTCAGTGACTCAAGTGGGAGAGAACCTATGTAGTAGGTGTGAGGCTCTGAGTTCAAACCCCAGTACCACCAAAAAAAACCCCAAAAAACAAAACACAGCTGGAGGAGAAAGCTCTATGAGTCTCAAAACAGAATGAAGCATAAAGTATGAATGCAGAGGACCCTGCATTCTTTTTCAAGCCATTCCTTCCTTTACAGGAATATAATTATGACAAATGATGGTTTACTATTTTTGATAAATTCATGTCTATATCCAGACTTTTTGGGTGCCATCAACATTTTATGAAGAAGCCTCAATAAATTTTGTCTCACCCTGACTATTAATGCAACAATCATAAAGACTACTCACTAAAGAGGCAACTGCAATTTCTAGAATATGAGATATAACTCCCTCCATGCCTTTGTTTTCTATGTACACTCTGATTTATATTACACAAAAGCAAATTATATTGTCTACAAAACTAAGTGTGTTAACTACTACTGAGTTACTCATGATACACATCAATCAAGATGCTGTTCTTGAAAACTACTACTTAAGACAGTGGAAGATGTTAAGTGGAAGGTATTTCAGGAAGACTCATTTGCAAAGACAGATAAATAAAAGACAATGATGTCAGAACCAAGAAGCTTCTTTAGTCAGCCAGACTGTGATAGGGGAGTAACAAGAAGTCAGGTGGTAAGACTGTAGAAAGGAGCTGGGCACTGGTGGCTCACACCTGTAATCCTAGCTACTCCGAAGGCAGCGATTAGGAAGATTGTTGTTTGAAGCCAGTCCTGGACAAATAGTTTTTGAGACCTGATCTTGAAAAAACCCATCACAAAAAAGGGGCTGGCAGAGTGGCTCAAGTGGTAAGAGCACCTGCCTAGCAAGCATCAGGCCCCAAGTTCAAACCCCAGTGCCACAAGACTATACAAAGGAAGCCACTGATGCAAGAACTGTCAAAATGGAAAAATTCTGGTCAGTACACTGAATTGTGGGGATGAAACAGGAAGAGTAACATGTAAATTGAGTAGATAGTAGGAGTCAAAGATAAAGAGAAATTATGGGGAATAAATTTAGGTTTCAAATTGAAGTAAAGAGAAGTTAACTCAATAATGCTGAGTGTAAAGTCATAATAGATCATTTAAGAAAAACAGTCAACTAGCTGGGGATGGTGGTACATGCCTGTAATCCCCAGGTCTCAGAAGGCTGAGGCAGAAGGATTGTAAGTGGGTTCTAGACCAGACTGAGCTACATCACAAAATCCTGTGTCTAAAACAAAAAGTATCAAAAAGAGGAGTCAAGCCGGCTGCCAGAGGCTCATGCCTGTAATCCTAATCACAGTTAGAAGCCTGGCCAGGCAAATAGTTCTCAAGACCCTACCTCAAAAATATCCAACACAGCTGCTCAAGATTAAGAGCACCTGCCTAGCAAGCATCAGGCCCCAAGTTCAAACAAAAACAACAAAAAAAAGGAGTCAAGAGCTAAATCTTGAAATCTAATCTTCTTTAATCTTCAACAATTACTGTCCATCAACAAGAGACTGGGTAGTACATTGTTACACTTTTTCTTACTTATGTGAATATCCAAGATTCACTATGAAAAGAGTTGTAGCTATAGTGTGCTTCCGTTTTGGGGGAAAAAAAAAGGTGGGGGAGGAAAAACAGGTTTTTTTTTCTTTCTTGTTAATTCATAAAGTCAGTCGGGAAGGATATATATGAAAGTAACAGGAGTGGCTACCTGGGAACGTGAGAAGGGACCTGGACAAACAAGGGACAGTAGTAGAAGACTTTACATTAGATAGCTTTTTATAAAATATTCTTCTATTGTTAACTATGATAATATCATTACTTACTCAAAATAATAAACTAAAAATTCCTATAATCAAAAGTAGCATCACTGAATACAGTAAAATAGTGAACCTGCATCACTGTCACTGCTCCGTAAGTCACAGCTGTCCAATAGATAGAGCCAACCATTATTCCTGCTGCAGCAAAAGGACAAGCTTTTGAGATCAGTCTATCTGCAAGATCCAAGACGTAAACAACTGGACCTATAATACAAAGAAAACAAAGTTTCAACACAAGGTGGTTTTTTAAATGACTTGTTCAATATTTTCTAAGATCCGAAGTACTTTTATGAAGTTGGATGTTCTGAGGCTTTAGAAACAGTTATAAATTTGATGGGATCTCAGCTTTGAATAGGTTAGAATTTCTCAGTCATTTGCATGAATGGCTCAATATTACGCCTTAAATTATAGGAAATAGCCTGTTCAAACTTTTATCTTCATCACTGAAACTATAATTAGAGCCTTAAATACAGCTGCTTCTTATAAAGGAAATAGTCCTCCCCTTCCATCTCTTGATCTCACCGGTTACCGCAAATGGGCCATTTTAGCTTGCTCTTTTCAAACATGTTCCTGGCAACCATTAAATTCTGTAGTACTTGGTAAGAATATCCCTTCTCTGTGTATGGTGGTACAGTGTGGAAAGGTAATCGAGGTTATTTTCTTTTAGTTACATAAAGTCAATTTATTTTACTTTGATTTTCAATGTGCTTTATTTAGTTGACTATTATTCTCTAACAAGTTTCTTTATATGATTATGCCAGTTTTTATCATATTCCAATAGCTGTATGTGCCAATTATACTTCTATTATGTGCATACTATTTTGGAGGTATTATACTAACTGCCATTAAACCCAATATAATTTAGCTTCAGACTTCTCCAGAAAAGTAAGATTATCAGGCTTGTTCAAAGCAATGCTAAAGAACTGGATATCTAAGTTTAACCAATACAAAACTTCTTGATTTAGTAACTGCTGTGCTTGCTGAACACCCTCTACATACCAATTATTATTTCAGACATTTTCTTAGAAATACACAAATCATTACCTACCTTCTAGGGGCTTACGGTCTAGAGAATGCTAAACACAAAAAGCAGTTATCTTCATTGTACAAAGAAATTAACATGGTAATTTGATAGTAAAATAATTAAACATAGAGGAACAATGCATCTTTTAAAATCCTTGATCAAAGCTCTCATTGATATCAGTGTTCACTGTATAAAAAGACCATACTGTGAAGTAAAGAGAACAATGGCAAGATCTTGAAGGACCTGTGATTTAAACGTAGCATATTTACTATCATTGTCAAGCTCTAAATTTAACATAACATTTAAAACAATGATAAAGATCTTTTGGGACCAAAGATGTAAAGCCTAATTTAATTTCTACTGACTCTACATTCTCTAAGAACAGCATTTCCTGAGTACATGACACTAGATGCTATGCAACAGGTATCATACATATCATATTTAATCTTCTAATACAGGGTTTAACTCTCAAAACACAAAAATCTGCTAGGTTAAGTTTATAACTCCATTAGAAGGCACAATAAAAGTCATCTTAATGGGTCACCAAAGATCCCTCGAATACTGATATTGAAATTAAAGATCATGAGTATATAATAAGAGCCCTGCATCTTAACTTTTATATTCTTTATTGGTAATTCTTTAATCAAAAATTGAAGCCACAAAAGAAATCTACAGACCCTCTTTAGCACATGTTCTGCACTGCATGTATCTGAAGAAGACAATTGCTTCACTTGTAGATGAGATCCCATTCCATCAACAGCTCAAAGTCAGTTCCAGCAATTGTCTCCCATTCTCTTACATCATTCCTGCCCCTACTCTTCACTGGCATATTTCCATCAAACAAACATGGTATTATTTCCTCTATCTTAAAAAAGCCAAAAAAACTGAAATCATCTTTTGATCCTTCTTATGTCACTACTCCCATTTCTTCCCCTCATAAGAAAATTAAGTCAAGAAGAATTGTCCATAACTCTCCTTTAATTCTCTCTTGAGGATACTCCACAAAAACTGCCATGTGGACGAGCTCCATATTCCTTGGGGCTGCAGGCATGGCTCAGGTGGTAGCCTAGCAAGTGCAAAGCTGCAAAGCCCTGAGTTCAAACCCCAGTACTGCAAACACACACACACACACACACACACACACACACACACACACCCTTAAATTCAATGGTCTGCTCTTAGTCTTCTTATTTGGCCTATCAGCAGTATCTGACACCTTTTCTTCCCAATGTATTGTTCTCCATTGCATTTCCAGAACATCACCTTTCTGCCATCTTAGCATCCACTTTTCAGTCTCTTTTGCTGGTTCTTCTTCTTGACCTCAATGAGGCCCACTCGGCCAACCCCTCCCCTAATTCAAGATACTCCCTATTTGATTAATTTGATCTATTCCTGTTTTTTCCTAAGGCCCTTATCACTTAACACACTTTTAACTTAATTATTATATCTATTTCCACTTACTAGAACAAGGGTTGGGAAACTGTCTTATGGGCCAAATCTAGCCAGTTGACTGTTTTTGTACATACTTTTGCCACATGCAAAGAACATGACCACAGGCAAAGTCTAAAATATTTACTACACTTTTTCTTCTTTTTTTTGTGGTACTGGGCTTGAACTCAGGGTGTTCACCTTCAGCCACTCCGCCAGCTCCCCACCCCTTTTTTTGTGATGGGTTTTTTTCGAGATAGGGTCTCATGAACTATTTACCCGGGCTGGTTTCAAAGTGATCTTCTTGATCTCTGCCTCTTGAGTAGCGAGGATTAAAGGTGTGAGCGACTGGCGCCCAGATTACATAGTTCTTTACAGAAAGGTTTGCTGACTACTGCATTAAAATATAAGCTCTAAAGGGAAAATGATCTTTTTGGTTTTATTGGTGTATCCCAAGTTCGTGTGATACTCAAGTATTTGTTGAGTTCTCTTTTGAGGCATACTTATGGTAACTGAACTATACTAATGGAGTGATGTAATTCCTAAAAAAGTCAAATATTTGGATAAAAATATAATTCCTAAAACAAACCTATCACTACTATTTTCATCTGTTATGAACAATGAGGATCTAGATGTTTGAATTGTTTTTTTTCATAAGGCCACAGAAGATTCTAGCAAAATGAGCTCAACATTTTTTTTAACTGAACCATTGAGTGTGAACTCTTCTATACAAGAAAAATATTGCTATTCTTCCTTTCAGAAATTTTCTAGCCCCCCCTTGGATTATATGCAAAATATGTCCCAGGTAAAATGAAAAGACAGGCTGAATTTTGTAGCACCCAATTTTAGCTTTTGTGACAAAACTCTTGTCTTTTGTCTTAACTTTATGTTGTCTAAATTTTTCAAGGCACTTCCAGACAGACCAATCCAAGATTAGTTTAATAAATAAGGAAGAATAAATGTTTAGTGTTACACGTACCATTAGAATTAACGGTCAGTCAGGGAGAAATTTCTGACAGATACAGATTATCTAGGTAAATTATTTGGTAAGCACAATCACTGAAATCCTCTGGATGACAGTCCCTAACTCATACTCTTCTTATAAGGAAATTTATATGCTACTATCCCATGATTTAGTCATAATCTTAGAAAAACAGCCATATTTGCTAGAGTCTTTGTATTGTTCGATTACAACAGAAAGAGATACAAGGAGTAGGGAAAGGCAAAACCTGAGCCCTTGAGAATCTCCATTCTAATAAAAGGAAGAAGTATGAAAAAATGTACCACACAGTTAACTACTGAAGAGCACAAAAGTTTCAATATTTTAAAAAGGTATTATGTTTGTTTGTTTTGTAGTGCCTGAGTCTGAACTAAGGGCCTTGTCCATGCTAGGTAAACACTCTACCAGTGAGCTACAATCCACAGCACTCATTATTGAATTTTTTTTTTTTTTTTGGCGGCACTGAGGCTTGAACTCAGGGCCTCACACTTGCTAGGCAGGCACTCTACCAGCCGAGTCACTCAACCAGCCATCATTATTGAATTTTTAATGCTTTGATGGGCCACACCACTTATGTTTTCAACAGCATTGCATATATACACAGGGCTGAGGTGTGGCTTAACAGTACCTGCTTAGCAAACGTACGTACTAAATTCAAACCCCAGAACTGCCAAACAAAAACAAAAAAGTACTATAGTTATACAATGGATGCCAATTGAAAAAGCTTTATATAAATAGGAATTTTGAAAACCTAATAATTTAAAGGGCAGTAGAAAAGCTTGCAATTAAAAGGAAGTCTATGTGAAGTCTCTTGAAGAATAAAGAAACATTTGAAAGACAACAACTATATCTTTGGTAGATTCAAATTTTTACATTTCAGATTTGACTGATATCAAAAAGTGAGCTGAGCTGGGTGTTGGTGGTTCATGCCTATAATCTTAGCTACTCAGGAAGCAGAGACCAGGAGGATAGCGAAGCCAGTCCAGGCAAATAGTTTTCGAGACCATATCTTGACGAAACGGCCTGTTGGAGTGGCTCAAGGTGTAGGCCCTGAGTTCAAATCCCAGTACTGGAAAAAAAAAAAGTGAGCTGAGCTGGGCATGGTGGTACATGACTGCAATCCCAACACTGGAGAGGCTTCAGCAAGAAGATCATGAGTTCTGGAGCCAGCCTTTGCTATATTGTGAATTCCAGGCCAGTCTGTGCTACACACAGCAGGATCTCATTTTTAAACAATAGCAAAAACTGAACTGAAAACTTCGGAGGAAACTCTTAAGTTCATGTCTATCCAAAAGAAGTAATAGCTTTGTCTAGCCTAGCAGACATTGCAAAAGTAGCATGCTACTGCTATGGTTCAAATTCAAGTCCAGCATGGCATGGTAGTACACATCTGTAAGTACAGCACTCAGGAGGCTGAGGCAGCAGGATCTCAAGTTGGAAGTCAGCCTGGGCTACACTGCAAGAGCCTCTCTCAAAAAACCAAGGGCTACCCAGGTGCCTGTGGCTCATACCTTTAATCCTAGCTGCCTATCATCCCAACTATAGCAAGAAGCCTGAAACAGGATTGTGGTCCAGTCCAACCTGACAAAAGTGAGACCCTATCTTCAAAATAATCAGAGAAAAAGGGATAGCTCCAATGGTAGAGCACACAAAGTCCTCAGCTGAAACCCCAGAACTAATAAGAAAAACAAACAAACAAAACAAGACATAAAGTCTAGTAATAAAGCTCAGTGGTAGAGAGCTGGCCTACCA